GGGCCAGGTCCCCAAGAGTCACTGAATTCCAGTCTAGGCATAGGTAAGCATCACAGGGATAGGGAACTTTGGTTCTGCGCAGGACCATTGGATATTTATAATATTCAAGGGCCATACAAAAGTAGCAATCTAGGCAAATGGTCTCAGAGAAGCATATAAGCAAGTGTGTCCCATCCTGTACCAATGATCTTGCGTGGGAAACTCCCCACCCCCTTACCCTTCCAACAGAAAATTAGTGGTGGAATATTATTAGCTAGGCAAAACCAGAGAAGTGGGGGAAGGCTTCATTTTTTTTTTTTTGGTTGGGGGAGGAAGAGAGTTGGATAAAGCCTAGGCCTCACACATGCTAGGCGGTGCTCTATCACTAAACCATATTCCCAGATACCTCTCCTCACTTTTTAAAAATTGGTTCTATTCCTCCTTATGGAAGAACAGAACCTCCCGAGGAGGAGCAAAACCCTAGGCCTCGTCAGCAGTTACCAGACCCAGCCACATTCAGTCACCTGGAGTAATCCAACAACATGGGATTCCTCGGCTCCAGACTTGGAGACCATAGTTCTGTAGGTCTGGGATGGGGTCCAGCAGAACACTGATGATCAGATGATTAGTCAGGTGGGGAAAGGGAGCTGTGAGATTGAGCAACCACAGCTGCCTTTCCCACTGAGTCTACTTCCTTGCACGCTACCAGAGGATCTACCAATGCACATCATGTTCACTTTCAGGCTTCGAGGCTTTCACTCCTTCCTCACTACCCAAACCACTTCGTGTGGTGGACCAAGAGCCAGCTATAGCCTTTGCAGTCTGATTTCTCCTGCTTTCCAACTGAGTCCAGCTTGTTTCTGGCTCTTTGTATACCTCTTCCTTTCTTAGCCTTCTTCCTCTCACCCTTGCTGTTCTGAATAACTGTTCAACCTTGAGGACCAGGCTTCCAGAAGCCTTTTTGGACCCAGTCTTCTCTGTATTACAATATGCTGGCATTCTCAGCACTCAACACCTGTACTGAGTACAGCACTGCTGGGGCTAAGTGCTCAACAGGCAGAACTTGTTTGGGGGGGAGGGGAGGGAGCGGTCAGTCATGGGGCTTGAACTCTGGGCCTGGGCACTATCCCTGAGCTCTTCAGCTCAAGGCTAGCGCTTTACCACTTGAGCCACAGTGCCACTTCCAGTTTTCTGGTGGTTTACTGGAGATAAGAGTCTCAAGGGCTTTCCTGCCCAGGCTGGCTTTGAACCATGATCCTCAGATCTCAGCATCCTGAGTAGCTAGGATTATAGGCATGAACCACTGGTGCCCAGCTCCCACTGCTATTTTTTTTTTTTTTGGGTCCGGTCATGGGGCCTGAACTCAGGGCCTAGGCGCTGTCCCTCAGCTCTTCAGCTCAAGGCTAGCGCTCTACCACTTGAGCCACAGCGCCACTTCCGGCTTTTTTCTTTTTGCTTATGTGCTGCTAAGGAATCGAACCCAGGGCCTCAGGCATGCAAGGCAAGCGCTCTACCACTGAGCCACCTTCCCAGCCCCCCACTGCTATTTTTATACATGAGAAAACAAAGCAAGAAGCTGAAACACTATCTAAAGGCTAGGATTTGACAGAACAATGAAACCTGTCAAGATTGCTTTAAGAAGGGAGGGTAGAAGAGAGTGAGAGGGGGAAAGTTGCTCAGGATACACTGTGTATATACATGGGGAAATGTCACAATGAAACTCTCCTTGTACAACTAACTATGCTAATTTAAAAACCAAAGAACTTAGCACCACTGCAATTACTACATTTGCTAGACCATGAAATCCTTGTGGCCAAGAAGCACGTCTCATTCCTTTCCGCCCTCACAGCTAGCCCAGGGCCCGGCACAGAACGCAGGTCAGGTAGTGTCTGCAGAGTCGGTGCCAGGTGTGAAGACGACTGGGTATCAGAGCACGTGTGCCATGGCTGGCCTGAATGAATGCATGGAGGCCTGCCAACCTGGCCCAGTAAGAGTGGCGGGCAGGAGCAAAGTCATAGAAAACTAGCTTTTCAATTATCATTTGGCTTAATAGACATGTAGGAAGCACGTAAAGACCACACACAATATACAACCCGGAGACAACTTAATTAAAACACTCCCTGCTTCCAAAAATTCTAGGCACAGTAGGCAAAAGCATTAGGAACCTAATTCATCCAGCTGATATCAGACATTAAGCCTGTCCTCTGGGACATTATATGGAAATTTAAAATTTTAAACCTTGAACGTGTAAGTCTTCATCTTCCAGGGCTCTTGGCCTTTTTACATAGTGAGTCTTTACTTGAACGTGTAAGTCTTCATCCTCAAGGGCTCTGGGCCTTTTTACATAGTGAGTCTTTACTGCTTCACAAAGAACTACAGGAGGCAGGCATGTCCTCAGAACCACCTCCCCCTGCTGGATGTGAGTGGTGCCTTAGGAAGTGGTACTTGGGTAGGCAGGGACTCTCAGATGGAGATCCTTGAGGGAAGGGAACACCTGGTCCTTCTGGGCATCCCTAACAAAATCAAATGGTCTTACTATAGAGATTGATCATCTGATCCTGTTCCTTAAGGGAACAGATTTATTCTGAGCAGAGAGAGAACCAGGTCTCTAGAGTCCCTTTAAACTAAACTGGGCAGTCCCAGAGGATGCTGTAGAGAGGAGAGAAACAAGTGCTGGGGAGGGATAGGATGAGCTCATTCGGGTCAGTCTCCTGGGGCCGAGTGCATACCTGGCCTGCCAGCAAGGCAGGCTAGGAAGCCTAAAGACAGCAAGGAGAGCTCTCAGGCTTTGTCTCGCCGCCCAGCACAGCTCATGTCACCTCAGAAGACTATGTACAAGAGGCTCTGCAGCTTGCTTTGCGTTCTCTTGGGAGGCTGCTGGTGAGGTTCAAATGAGGGAAGAGACAGACAGCATCACAGAGGGAGGCAGCCCTGGGAGTTTAATTCAAGCCAGTCAATACTGTTCCCATAGCTTCCTTCTACTGCTATTAAATTTTATCTGTGCTTCTCCTCTTGAAGTAAAAGGGAGTTGGGGTTCTAGGAAACAGCAGGTTTAGTGGCCTAGAACTAGAAAGATTTGGGGTCCCACATTTAAATGTGTACAAGGGATGCGAATGATGGAAGGGGCCTGGATAAAACCAAAACTTCAGGGATTATGGAGCACATTCTACTTAAAGGCAGCAGCTGCTACTCAGACTTACAGATTGCCTTGTGGAGATGGGGGCCTGATGTCACCAGATCTTTAGAGTTTGAAGAAGCACAAATCTAGATCTGTGACAAACATTTTGGTTTCTAAAATACTAGTGCACATTCAGATAAAGATAAGAGAAACAGAACAATGTTGGAGTTGGACCTCAGAACAAGTAGGTAGACTGAAAGTCTCATTTAGCTCCTTTGGTTTAGGTAGACAAATGACACAAAGTTTCACCTCTCTTATCTGATCTATGTCTGTTAAGACTGGGTTGACTGGCAGTGGGAACAAGAGAGCCTAGTTACTGGCAGAGCGATGACTAACCTCTACTCTGTCACCAGGTACTTTTTATAAGGGCACAAAAGCCTGTTTCTCAAATCCAGACTCTACTCCAGCAAACAAGAGGGGTACAATCAGAACAGATTTTGTCAATGTGTTTTAGTTCTGTGGCTATTACAAACTTCCCACAGTATACAAGAGTAACTTTTTTGTTTCACATCTATCGTGGGAATCACTTGGTCAAATATTAAGTATTTCTGTTTGTTCATCTGAAAAGCAGAGAAACCACCTTTATACCCCTCAGGTTTTCAGGGGTATGATATGATGGAGACTGCCAGGGTTCTGTTGGCACTCTCAGAGTTTAGATGTAAAAGCAGACAAGGAGTTACATTAATTTTGACAGATAATTTTTGATAGATACTGAGGAGAAATACAGGGAAGGTGAGAAGATGAGAAGGCTTGCCTACTAGGGGCATGCTTTGGTGGCAGAGCTCCTATGCAGCAAGACAGAGACTCTGAGCTCAAACCCCAGTACAGAGAGACAGACAGAGACAGAGAGAAGAGAGGAAGAGGGAGCACTAGCAAGGCATGACAAGTGCCTCGTTTGAATAAATGAACTGGCAGGTCAAGCAGTAGAGCAGAGGAAGTAGTGAAGGCTGTTAACTCTGGGGAAAGACGTGCCCTCAAAAATTAAACTGAACACACTGGGGAAGTTTTTTTTGCACATCTGTGTGGCAGGAACTCTCGTGTTGTATGGCAGAATGGGAAGGAGAGAACAGAACAGACAGTTCTGTTTCTCCCCTTTCATCTCTCCCTGTTGGATTAATAGTGCTCCCAGGGGAGACCGGGGTAGGTCCTGGAGGGAGGAGGGAGTCAGACCTACCATGGACAAGGGTTAGCCTAGAGAATCTCCTCTAGATCTATTGTCAGCCCAGGGTAAGAGGTAGGGGTAAGGCAGCTCTGCTGACACAAGGGGTTAGATTTTCACTAATTAAAAAAAATGGGGCTGGGAAGGTAGCTCAGTGGTAGAGTGCTTGCCTTGCATGCATGAGGCCCTGGGTTCGATTCCTCAGCACCACAAAAGCAGAAAAAGCCAGAAGTGGCGCTGTGGCTCAAGTAGTAGAACGCTCGCCTTGAGCTGAAGAGTTGAGGGACAGTGCCCAGGCCCAGAGTTCAGGCCCCACGTCTGACAAAAAAAAAAAAAAGTATTGTCATCTGAAACACAAAGGAGACCAACACCAAAACTGGGTTACCATAAGCACAGGTTCTGGGCTGACTCATTTTCTTTCACCTAGTTAGCTCGGCTCTGCCAGGCTGGGTGTGGAGGATCGGATAATCCACACAGTCTGGGTCCCTGTGCAGTTCAAGCCCGGTGCAGGGGAGCAGACAGATCAACACGACATTTCATCACAGAAAGAGGGGGGAGCGGGGTCAGAAAGCTACTGTAGGGAAGCACAGAGGGCTGTGAGCACAGTGGGATCACTGGGGCCCAACTTGGGGAGGTCAGGGAAGGCTTTCCGGGAATGACACCCCAAAGAGCATCCCCACTCACATGCACAATTCCAGAGATTCTACTAGAAGGCTGTCAAGAGCCATGCCTTCAGGCCGCACCAGCCTCCCAGAGTCCCCTGCTGCCCGTTGCAGTGTCTGCAGAGCCAAACGCATCTTCCGCCACGCCTCATCCTCATCCGGGCGCTGCCTCCGACCCTCCAAGACTCCTGCAGAGGCCGGCCTTCCTGGGCAGGCTCAGCCAAAAGACCAACTCAAAACTCTTTTGTCAGAGTAAGCTTGGGGGGGGGGGAGCCACCCAATCCCGGGGGGAGGGAGGGAGGAGGGAGGGGGAAAAGCACAACCCTCCCAGAGCTCCGGTGTGGCTTCTGCCACCACCCCAAGCCTCTCAGAGAACCACTGGCAGGGAGGGGTACCTCCTAAGATCTCCTTTTTAGCTCAAAAGAAGAGTGACCTTCTTCCAGGTGGCAAGCTGGAAGCTTTCTAGAATTCTCCTACTGCTGGCTCACAGCAGGATTTGCCAAAGGGGGGGGGGGAAGAGGAGGGGGAAGGGAAGCGCCTTGTGAGTGGAGGGTGGATTGGGGGGGAGATAGGGAAAGTTTGTCTGAGTTCCCTTCGAAGGACCGTGGGGGGGTTGTGTGTGTGTGTGTGTGTGTGTGTGTGTGTTGGGGGGGCGAGGGAGCTGCCTGGTTGTCACTCCAACTGCCCCAGGGGACACACACGCCGGTGACACGGCAGCACGGGGGGGGGGGGTTAAAGGGAGATGTGGGGGGGAGGGAGAACTAGAGGCTGCGGCGCCCTGATTTGGTCTGGGGGTGCGGAGCAGATGGGGTCCGAAGAAGGCGGAGAGCCGAGAGCCGAGCCGTGGCCCCCCTCCAGCACCACAGCCCAGCCCCGGCGGGTGCGCGGCCAGCGCGATCCGCTTCGGCCCCAGCCTGGGGGGCATCGGGGAAGGTGGGCCAGCATCGTGGAGGGCGCGCCCCCCCGGGGAGGGGGGAGCCTCCGCCCGCCCCGCCGGCCGGGCCGGGGAGAGAAGGCCTCGGTCGCGGCCTCGGGGGCTCGGGCGGCCGCGCCGGCCCCGGCCCCGCCCCGCTCCCGGGATGGGAGAGCGCCCCGGGCCGGCCGAGCCGCCTCGCTCGCTCCTACCTGCGGGCCGGGCGCCGGCTGGGGCTCGTCCTCCTCCCGGGGCCCGTCGCGATCGGCTTCCGTCGGCGCCTCGGGGGGCCCAGCGCCCGCTCCCGCGTCCGAGCTCGGCGGCGGCTGGGGTTCGGGCGCCTGGGGCTTCTGCAGCCCCGCGGTCCGCGCCCTGTCGCGCCGGCCCGCGCCGCCGCTCGGCCTGCTCCGCCTCCGAGTCATGCCGCCGCCCGTTCGCGCCGCTCCGGCCTCCCGGTGCACCCGCTTCACCCGCGCCGCCGCCGCCGCCGCCGCCGCCGCTCCCCTTACAGGACAACAGCCAATATGGCGGCGCCCGGCGCCCCTCAGCCCGCTGCCAGCAGGTCAAAGGGCACGCGGAGTCCGCGCCGACGCACTCGCCTCGGAAGCCGTCGGCGCCATTTTTCATGAGGGCATTGCCCTGAGTGTCCCGGGGTGTTGGCCTGGGAGACGCCCTCCCCCGACACTGCTGGGTCTGGAAGGGCCGCGACCTCCCAGCGGAGCGTGTGCAATGCTGTGGCAGCGGGCCTAGGAGCTTAATAATAGCCTGTTCGTCGGGGTAAGTGGATACATTGCTGCCAGTGTGCTTTGACCACAGCCCCTGACGACACCTCTCCCGGTAGCACCTGCAGGCAGGTAGGGGCCGATCTCCTTGTGCAAGGGAGAGAGGACTAATGTCGAGGAGGCAGAAGGGCCGGGAAAGGAGGCTCGACGCCCTCCAGCCAGGGCTCCTGCGCTCCTGTGGTCGGCAAGGGGTGTTCTGGGTGCCGGAGTCTTCCTGGTGGTCAAGGCTGACACACACATAACGCAACCCAGGGAGACCCAGTGGGCATCCGAGGCTCGGCTGACGATAGTGGTTCCAAAACTGGTTCATGTGCAGGAGAGGATTTTGAGAGGAGCACAAAGGAACGTTAAAATAATAATAATAATAATAGCTGGTGCCCATGGCTCATGCCTGTCATCCTAGCTACTCAGGAGGCTGATATCTGAAGCTCAAGGTTGAAGGCCAGCCTGGGTAGGAAAAGCATCCTAGCTACTCAGGAGGCTGATATCTGAAGCTCAAGGTTGAAGGCCAGCCTGGGTAGGAAAAGCACATGAGACTCGTATCTCCAATTAATCAGCAAAAAGCTGGAAGTGGAGCTGGGGTCCAAGTGGTAGAGCAGCAGCAAAGGGACAGCACCTGAGTTCAAGCCCTACTACACATTGCGTGCACACACACACACACACACACACATAAAGACTTTACAAGGGTCAAGCTCTTGCTTAGCTGTTTCAGTCAATACAGGCTGCTCTACCACTTGAGTCTTACCTTCCACTTTAGCCTCAGTACTGGTAAACAAGCAAACTGATATAATAGCATATACCCATAGTCCCAGATACTCAAAAGGCTAAAACAGGAGGATTACTTGATCCCAAGACTTAAAGGCCACCCAGTGAGACCCTTTCTCAAAGGAAACAAAAAAGTACATTATATATTTATACTTATATATGTGTATGCAAAATAGCAGAATGAACTCATCAAAATTGTAAAAAAAAAAAAAAATGCCATCACTGGAAATGAATTTTTTTGGTGGTTTAAGAGGTCTCAATTCAGGGCTTCACACTTACTAAGCAACAACTCTACCACTTGAGCCACATCTCTGGCCCTGGAAATGATTTTTATTAAAACAACAATGACAGATGTATGTGTTAGCAAGTCAAAAGCTTTGGCCTGGCACAGGGTCAGGTGTGGTGAAGTGTCCTATAATACTAGCACTCAGGAGGCTGAAGCAGTAGGACTACAAGTTTGGGATATATAGCAATACCCTGTCACACTCTTACAAAAGAGAGACAGAGAGACACATACAGAAAACTTTAGGATGGTTAAAACAAGATTTCAATTTTTTTGTCAGTCATGGGGCTTGAACTCTGGGCTTGGGCACTGTCCCTGAGCTCTTCAGCTCAAGGCGAGTACTCTACCATTTGGACTACAGTGTCACTTCTGGTAAATTGGAGATAAGTCCCATGGACTATCCTGCCCAGGCTGGTTTTAAACCACAATCCTCAGATCTCAGCCTCCTGAGTAGCTAGGATTACAGGTGTGAGCCACTGGCACCCAGCTCCATTCATTTTTGAGAGTTAGGGTGTCCCCTGGAAGTTCTTCCCTAGATTGTAGACCAAAGTCAGAAGTTATGTCGTCATGAGTTGAGAGGAAGTTGCTGTCCTTGGTCCTGAATTGTAGTTACTGTTCCATGAACTATAGTAAACAACTCTTGGTGGTGGTTGTTGAAGTTCTCAGTATATTTGTCCCTATGAACCAATAGTTCTGTGAAACACATACAAAGGAAATTAACCATCTTTATCATATAGGTCAATTTTCTCTAAGTTCCAAAAAGTTACTGCTAAATTTTTTCATTCATTCTTTTGATGTTCCTTTCTTTTTTTTTCTCTTTTCTTTTTTTGTGTTGGTCATGGGGCTTGAACTCAGAGTCTGATTGCTGTCCCTGAGCTCCTTTGCTCAAGGCTAGTACTCTATCACTTTGAGCCACAATGCTGCTTTTTTTCTGGTGGTTAATTGGACTTTCCAGCCCACTGGCTTTGACCTATGATCCTCAGATTTCAGCCTCCTGAGTAGCTAGGATTATAGGTGTGTGCCACCAGTGTCCTTTCTTTCATTCTTTTTGGGGGCTAGTAGTGAACTCAGAGTCTAGATACTTAGCTTTTCCATTCAAGTTGGCCCTTTACTACTTGAGCCACAGCTCCACTTCCAGTTTTTGCTGGTTAATTGGAGATAAGAGTCTCAGGTGGCTCAGTGGTAGAGTGCTTGTCTTGCATACAGGAGACCCTGGGTTCAATTCCTCAGCACCACATAAATAGAAAAAGCCGGAAGTGGCACCATGTCTCAAGTGGTAGAGCAGTAACCTTGAGCTGAAGAGCTGAGGGACAGTGCCCAGGCCCAAAGTTCAAGACCCACGACTGACAAAAAAAAAAAAAAAGAGTCATAGATTTTCCTCCTGAGATCCTCATAGCTCAGCTTCCTGATTAGCTGGAATTATAGTCAGAAACCACCAGCTCCACAGCTTTTCAATTTCTGTATTTATCTTATTTCAGACATTAACACACTTCACGGTTCCATGTGCCAGTGGTCAGATTCCTACAAGAATCCTCTAAATGGACAAAAATAGCAAATGCTTAGGGGCTCTAGTGTACCCACGACTTCACAGCAATATTTCCATGCACATTAACTCAGACATTAGGCAGAAATGATATGCATTCTCAAGCTGCAAAAGTATTGAACTAGCCAGGGGCCGGTGGCTCACACCTGTCATCCTAGCTACTCAGGAGACTGAGATCTGAGGATTGCAGTTCAAAGCCAGTTCAGGCAGGAAAGTTTGTGAGACTTTTTTTTTTTTTTTTTGTCGGTCGTGGGGCTTGAACTCTGGGCCTGGGCGCTGTCCTTCAGCTCTTCAGCTCAAGGTGAGCACTCTACCACTTGAGCTACAGCGCCACTTCCGGTTTTCTGGTGGTTTATTGGAGATAGGAGTCTCACGGTCTCTCCTGCCCGGGCTGGCTTTGAACCGCGATCCTCAGATCTCAGCCTCCTGAGTAGCTAGGATTACAGGCGTGAGCCGCCAGCGCCCGGCTCTGTGAGACTTTTATCTCCAATTAAGCACAAAAAAAGTCTGGAAGTGGTGCTCAAGTGGTAGAGTGCTAGCCTTGAGCAACAGGAGCTTAGGGACAGCCCACAGTACCCAAAACCAGCAAAAAAAAAAAAAAAATGTACTAATGATAGAACAGCCTCTTTTTTTTTTTTTTTTAATCTCCCCTCACCCCAGTGGTGGGGTGAAACTCATGACTTCACACATACTAGACCATTACACTACACTCAGCTACATATTTCCAACCCTAGAACAGTCTGTTTTTGAGCGATGACAGGGCTGGAAACACAAGAGCAGTGAGCTCATCATACTTGGATTTTCCCAGTTGACAATGATCTCATTCCACAGGTTATAACCAAGACCACTGAAGGGAGCTGCCACTTGTGACATTTGATATTTCCTCATCTGTGGTTCATCCAAGACTCTGGCAGGCCTTGCACTAAATGCTGTGGCTGTTCTGGAAAATTCTCCTTTGGTCTGCCTCTTAGCCACCTGCCTAGGGTCCATTAATAT